CCCTCCCCCTCCTCCTTCTTCCCTGGCCTCACATGCTAGCCACAGGCCCAGCCTTATCAGTTACTGTTCTAGAACTTTACACAATGACCCATTTAATGCCAAGAACTATTATTTCTATTTTGAAGAGGCTGAGACACAGAGGTTAATTTATGAACCCAAATTCCCCAGCTAGTGAACAGCAGCGTTGGCTGTCCGGGAGCCCAGGTGGTCCCCATCCGAGTCCACGTGGCCCAGGACCTTGCCCCGCCTCACCTGGGAGATGGGTCTGCAGCAGCCCAGTGCCGGGACATAATAAGCAGCAGGAATGCTGGGTGATATTATTGTTGGACACCTTCTCTGGAAGTCTCAGGCCATCATGACTTACGCTGTTAACTATTGGGGACCACTGGACACCTACCAGGTGCCAACCCTTCATTCAGTCCTCCCAACTCCCCAGAAAGGGTTCCTCTTTTGTAAATGGGGTGGGGGGGGATCAGGAATCAGAGAGAGGAACTCTGGCTGAGGTAAAGATGGGGCTCAAGCCCGAGGGCTGCAGCACCAGTCTTCTGTTCCACTCAGAGCCTGGTGACTTGTGCTGGTCCCTGATGCAGGAGGTGGGCCATCAGGTCCCCCAGAGACTTTGCTGACCTGAGGAGCCCTGAGCCCTCCCCTAGGCCTTGTGGCTGGGGGCTGGGGTGGGGCCTGGGCACGTGCACTTCTCAGGGTCTCCTGGGTCCTGACCTCAGCTGGTCGGGAAGCACACCTTACAAATCTCTGCTCTCAGCAGGCTTCTTGGAATGTGTCTTAGTCTGTTTTCTGTTGCTATATCCAATAGTCTGAGGTCAGGTCATTTATAAAGAAAAGAAATTTCTTTCTTTCAGTTCTGGAGCTGGGAATCCCAAGAGCATGGCTCCCACACTTGCCAGGCGTCTGGGGGGCCTGCTGCTGTGTGGTCGCGTGGGGGACGCAGGTCCTGGTGAGGCCCAGCGAGTGTGCCACTCAGGTCTGTCCTCCTCTGCTCTAAAGCCATCCAAGCCTTGGTGGGGACCCTGCCTCTGTGACCTCATCTAACTCTAGTGAGCTCCCAGAGGCTCCCCTTTAGTGACTGTTAAATTCGTTGGCGAGCCTGTTTGGGAAGTAAGTCTCCAACATGTGGAGTGTGGGGGCCATATTCAAACCCCAGCAGAATGTCTGCGGTCACGCTTCTCCTGTGTGGCCCGTCTGAGGCTCAGGGCTGAGGAGTGTTGACCTGGGAAGTGGACAAGAGACCCCGTGCCCTTTCCTCCCCGCAGGGCTCTCAGATCACGGTCCTCAGGAGCCTTCTGACTAGCAGACCCCCCGCCCACCTGCCCACCATCTTCCAACCTTTCCCAGAACAACGTCGATTGGTGCTTTTCTGATTAAAAACAAACCAAACACACAAGATCTTAGTACTGTCCACACTTGAGAAAAGCCCCTCAGACAAAAAGGGGGACAGGAAGGAGATGGACCCACCACCATGCCCTGCTGATAGTCGCCTTTGTTTTATTTCCTGTCGCCTCTTGTTCTGTGTGAATCCGCCCTCGGGTGGAGGTTCCGCCCCAGTGGACTCCATCAACTGCAGATTGAAGCTGTTTTGAGAAAAAAATTGCATCTCTACTGCACACAGACTGTTTTCTTGTCGTCATTCCCTAAACGCTGCAGTCTCCCAGCTGTTCACACGGCTTCTCTGCGTCCCAGGTACCGTGAGTCATCGGGGATGGTCTAGCCCCTGGGGAAGGGCACAGGGGCTTCCTAGACACGACAAGGCTTTCTGCAAGGGACCTGGGCATCGCAGACTTTGGCATCTGAAGAGGGTCTTGGGGCTGACCCCACATGCGTATCAAGGCACAACTGTATTTTTAAGTATTGGAATAAAAAGATGCATATAAGGCTTGTCTCCTAGAAGACAAGAAGCCACCTACTAACCGCGCTCTGTATTTGGGGGATGCTTTTTTTTCCCTGAGGTTTGCTGGGCACTTCCTGGGGGGAGACAGGCAGGCCTCTGAGCCAACCGGAGAGCTTGGGCACAGAAAGGACCATCCTGTCACTTGGTTAACAGTGACACAGCAGGAGACAGGTATGGGCCCCTGAGGAATGGAGAGCTGGCTGGCCTCGGGTCCTCAGGGCACCAAGGGGGCATGGCACATTCTTGAGAGGTGGCTTAACGGAGGAATGTCCCCAGGTCCTTCGGCATGGAAGACGGAGGGGCTGGGGGGGAGGGAGGGCAGGAGGGATGTTGTGCAAAAGGGTGAGCCCAGGGGGGCTGCCCCGTATCCTGTGGCCTGCGTGGCCATGTGGCATAGGCCCGTCTACCTCTGGGCTGCCAGGATGGAGAGGGACCGGTTAAGCTTCACCATGGCAATCACGAGGAGGCCACCGGTCAGCAGGAAGGTGGGCCAGAAGAGGGAGAAGAGGAGGGTCTGTGGCCCGTAGAGACGCTGGTACAGGACACTCGTCTCGTTCTCCTGGGTCGTCGAGAAGCAGTAGAAAACCTGGTGCTTGTGGAAATTGGCCCTGACCTTCTCCACGTCGGCGCGGGCCATCTGGTAGTTGTCCAGGCTGTCCGGGATGTAGGAGCACTGCGGGGAAGCAAGAGCACACAGTGGGCTGTGAATCTTTGTGCCTTAGGGCCCGAGGGTGAAGGCCTGCGACAGCGTAAAGACAAATGCTGACTTTGGAGCCAACCCTGGATGGAGCTGGGGCTTCCGTCTGTACACCACACAGTCTGGAGGGCAAGTTCAGTGTTATGTGGGTGGCTGGTGGCCCTGGAGCTGCCTGGTATGTGTGCTGCACTCCTGTAGGCAGGGGCCCACTCGAAGCCCTGGCTCTTCTTCTGTTGGCTGTTGAATCTGAGACAGATCGTTCATCTTTTCGGAGCCATCAAACTTTAATCATCTAAGTGGGTTAAACTGCTGTATCGTTTTCAAAGAAAATTATTTAAGGACTTGACCTATCACTGTCGAAGGGAACCAATGAGTGACATAAGTCAAAGGACAGGTGGGGCCCTGTGTTTAGATTCAGGGCACAAATCACAAGCTCGGTTGCCCCAGGGGCTCATGCAGCTCTCTGAACAAGCGAGGCAGGCGAGACCAAGAGGATGACAGGCGCCACCTGGCACTTGCCTGGTGCCAGGGACAATTGTCGGGGAGTGCGGGGGCTGGCAGAAGGGAGAGAGCCAGCTGCATCTGCACTGGCCACCACTGCCCCCTCAGGACAGGGACACCATCCGGAAGATGGCAGAAGCCGGGCTGCGGCGTTTCAGGAGAAGGCAGAAAACCCAGGTTGGACGTGATCTTAAAATGTCAGCAAGAATTCAACCAGAGAACTCTGAGGCCAGCCCCGTGTGGGCCGAGCAAGGCGCTGGCCAGCAGACGCCACCTGGGAGCCGAGGAGGACCAGGGCGTGGGGAAGCGCTCGCGCAGGCAGAGCTGGGCACTCATGTCATCGGGACGCTGATCACGATTATTGGGAGCCGTCCTGCCCGCCCAGCCGCGGCCCAGCTGGCCAACTGCAGAGGACGGACAAGGAGGACCCTGGCTGTCTCTGCTCTGGCCTGCCACCTGCTCATGGGGACTCTGGAGGTGCTTTGCAAATGTCAGCCCCGCCCACAAAACAGGCTGCTGGTTGGCACCGCTTCCCACTCCCCTCCGTGCAGAGGGGCCCGGGGTGGACGCTTCTTTCCCGCACTGAGTCTGAGGCCCGCTGTCCTACTGAAGCCACGTCCAGGATCAGAATGGGGGACATGAGACCCAGAGGGCCAGCCTCAGCTCCTCCCCAGAGTTGAAGGAGATCTGAGGTAGGAGCTTATGCCCACCCGGGGGCCACTGAGCCCCCCAGGTGCCACCTGGACCCCCTTCCTGACTCCCAGGCTCAGCCACAGCCCCACAGCCTCCCCCTTCCCGACCCCAGGTGACCCGCCCCTTGCAGCCCACTGGTGTCCGGATTCTGTCAGTGTCCATCCTGCTGTGGGTCCACGCCCCTGCCCTGGTCCTGCTGTGGCCAGTACCTGAGTCCCCATGGCCCTGGGCTCCACCCTCCCGGCTCCTCAGGGATCGCACCCGGGACTCCAGTAGGTCACAGTGGTGAACCCCCCGGAGCTCTGTGCCCAGAGGTGCCACTGCAGTGGGTCTGATGTGGGACCCTGGCTTTGCTAAGACCCCCGCGTGGTTCTCAGGACACTCAGGCCTGGCCTCTCGTTGGTTCAGCTGGTAGGTTAGAAGTGACAGTCCCCATGGCCGCCTCTCTCTGGGAGCCCCATCCACCCAACAGCTAGCGGGCGCACAGCCGGTGTCTGACTCTTCACGGCTCCCCAGGGGCAGCGGGCACCTCTGTCACAGGCTCACAGGGGCAGACTCAGACCCGGGGTGGGACCAAAACCCGCACACCAGCCAGGAGACACTGGGCAGAGCTCCCTGAGCCCTGGGGACACAGTGAGGGCCAGGCTCCCATGCATACCCAGGACAAGGGGACGTGTGCCCATCCCCAGCCCCGTACCTGCTGGTTCTGGCTCCGAGTGTCCTCCGTGTGGTACAGCACGGCCCACTTGCCCACGGCCGAGACGTTGACCCACAGGCACGGGTACGGGGACACCTTCCTGCCCTCCAGCTCCTCCTGGTGCCTGATGTCTGTCTCAATCAGGTGGCAGGTGGACTCCTGGGTCCACACGCTGAGGACACCACATACACACATCTCAGAACAGGGGGACACAGAGAGCACCCTGCTGGACCCCTGGTCCCCCGGGAGCCTTTAGGAGAGCCGGGGCTGGGCCCCTCATCTTGCCGTGGCACTCAGCACTGAAGGCAGGAGCTAGACACAGGGAGGGACTGGCCCCAGAAGAGCAGAGCCGCTGGGGTCCTAGTTCTCCTCACACCTGGGGAGTTTCAAACAGACTCCCACGTCTGCCAGGCCCACTGTGATCCCACAGCTCGGGAGGCTGAGGCAGGAGGATGGCCAGTTCAAAGCCAGCCTCAGCAACAGTGAGTACTCAGCCACTCAGTGCGACCCTGTCTAATAAAATACACAATAGGGCTGGGGATGGGGCTCAACTGTCGAGTGTCCCTGAGTTCAATCCCTGGTACCCCTCCAAAAAAAGATTCCCACGTCCAAGCCACACCCCAGAATAAGCAGGTTGGAATTTCTGCAGTGGTTGGATACAGGTTGGTGTATTTTTAAAACTTCCCCAGTGGTTCTGAGGAGCAGCCAGGCCTGAGAATCTCTTATTCAGAGCCTCATTGTCTTACAGAGGTCTGAGGAGCTCAGATAGGTCAAGTGAATTTCCTGAGGCCACACAGGACTTGAGGTCAAATCCAAGTGCCTCCAGAATCTGTCATCTTTCCCCTGAAGAGGGCAGATGTTTGGGGCTGGGTTTGATGGGGCGATGGAGTTTAACCGGGAGACAACACACTGGAGACACAGCTGCACTGAGTAGCGCCTCATCCGGAAGACCCCAGCCTGTCACGGCTCCATTTGTCGAAGGCAAGGACCGTGCTGGCCGGGAGGGGCCGACAGGCTCATCCAGACACCCTCGAGTGTGAGTGTGTGAGTGAGTCCCTGGGGACTCAGCCCATTTTTCCTGCAGGAGACCGGATGCCAGGCTGGGTGTGGGAGGGGGCTGTCAGGGACGGGAACGTGCCCAGGAAGGGTCTGGGGCTTATCCAAAGCCCAGGTGAGAGTGCTGAGTGCGTCCATTGCAGACAGTCCCACAGCAGGGGTCTCCCAGCTCTTCATGGAAGCCGAAGGGTGAGGTGGCCTGTCAGAGGCACACGGGACGCTCTCCACGAGGCCTGCAAGGGTCCAGGGGAGCAGATGCGCGCCCAGTGTGGCTTCTACACATCAGAAAGGCCTAGCGTGGGGGTGAGGGTGGGGTGAGGGTGGGGGGCGGTGGGAGCCCGCCTGACCCAGGTGAAGGGGCTCCGGGTCACCCCCTGCAGGGTTTGCTCACATCCTTGGCTGATTCTGAGAGAAGAGCCCCTGGAGCCTGCTCCCATGGGATCCCAGAGCAGGGGCCAGCCTGCCCTCTCGCTAAGAGTGACATGGCCCTGAGCAGCCTGCCTACTGTGAGGTGGCCGGAGAGGGGGAGAAGCCCTGGAAGACCCCTGAGCCCGCACAGCCCCCTGCCCACACCCAGGACTGAAGCCCCACCCGCAGCGCACCCACCTCCTCTGGTAGAGGGGCAGCATGGTGGTGCAGAGGATGTAGTAGGTGATCACCGCGCACACCACCATGGCCACACCCAGGCACAGGGCTCGGGTCTCTCCCCGCTTCTGAGCCATCACCAGCTTCTTCACCATGTCCACCGGGGCCAGCTGTCATTTCTAGGGCCACAGAAGGAACAGAAGTGAGATGGGCTCAGGCGGCAGGTGACCCGCCAAAAGGAGGGCGGCGAGGGGGAGGCCACCAAATATCAACCTCACTCCTTTCCACCCTCTGGAAGCTCCCAGCCAGCTCTGAGAGGTGAGTGTCACCCTCTCATCCTGCAAGGGAAGAGAGGGAAAGCGATTTGCCCAAGATCACACAGCATGTGGAGGCTCCACAGTGGCTCCCAGGATGTCTGGGTTCTGATCCCTGGCTGACTCTCAGGGTTAACCTTGCAAACCTCAGTGAGTCCCCAAGCAAAACCCTTGTCCCAGGGGAAGCTGGAGCAGGGCTGGGGACCTCCCTTGCTGTGAGGCTCCTACCACAAGCAGCCCCCACCTCCCGCTCCCTCCCCGTCCTTTGCACCCCAGAAATGGCTGTGAAGGGCCTTGAGATGGGGAGAGGGTCTTGTATGATGCATGTGGACCCTCAATGCAGTCATAAGGGTCCTTGTGAGACGGAAGCACAGGGACACAGAGGAAGGGAAGGTAACGCACAGCCCCCAGAAGGCAGGGGGCAGAAACAACAGGCTGTCCCCTGACCTCTGCAGGGCACCGCCCCTGGCCACCTTGGTGATCTGCACTCCTGGCCTCCAGAACTGTGAGATAGAGGTCTCTGCTGCTTTAGGCCACCAAGTGAACGGTCATTTGATTCAGCAGTGTCCGGGGCGGGCTGGGCAGGAGCACCCAGCAGGCTCCCCGGGGGGCAGGAGGAGTCCCACATTCAGGATCCCTGGCAGGCAACTGCCCCTTCAAGCCAAGGGAGATGGCATCCTGGGGTTCTGGGGACAGCTTTCTTAGTTCAGGACTGAAGCCCCGGGGTCACGGTAAGATGGAGGGAAGTGGCCGCCCCTCTCTGGCTGCAGCCCCAAGGCCCTCCCAGCAGCGGGAGTCCTGACCAACCTTCTCCAGGGGTCCCTCAGTCCCTGCCCCAGGGGGCACAGAGCTGCCGGGCTGGGGACCCTCCTGTGGACCTGCCCTGGGTTCAAAGAGCTGTGGGGCCTTCCCGGGACACGTCTTTGTGGCTACTTTTTGTTTACTTAAGGTAACCAGCCCATCCAGGTGTGCCCAGGTGAGGCAGCGGCAGCCCCTGGGGCAGGAGCCCCGAAGCCTGCTGCCCAGGGACTTTGGGTCATGGCACCTGGCCCCACCCCAGGGCCTGGGGGACACAGCTGACTCTCAGGGTCAACCTTGGAAACCTCAGTGAGTGTCCAAGCAAAACCCTTGTCCCAGGGGAAGCTGGAGCTGTGCTGGGGACCTCCCTTGCTGTGAGGCTCCTTCCACAAGCAGCCCCCACCTCCCGCTCCCTCCCCATCCTCTGCATCCCAGACGCTGGAGTCTCTAAGGCTGGAGGAGGCTGGAGTCCTGGACTTCCCTGTTCCAGGGGCACAGGAGGGAAGGGAAGGAGAGACTGCCCTGTCTCCAAGGGGTCTGGCCCTGTGCTCCTGCTCTGCTGGGATTCCTGCAGAGTCCGATAAACCCACTCAGGTCCGTTCTGGGGGTTCTATTTAGATAGGAGTCTCGGGTGGGAATTGGGCTTCAACATCCACAGTGTTGAATAGTCAGTTCCCCTAAGACCTGCTCCGGAAGAGATGGGTTTCATCAACAACAGGAGGGATTTAGTTAGACTCCAAGAAGAACTTCTCAGGCTTGAGAGTTGACAAATAACTTTGGCTTTTTTGGCTAGCTCTTCCTATTCAGAAAGGTCACACAAGGTCCGAGCTGGGTTTAGGAAAGATGAAGGAGGACAAAGGAAGGCGTGTGGGTCCCATGTGATCTGAGAGCCGGGTCCACATCCTCTTCCTTAGAAGGACAGGAGTAGAGTACAGCGTTTCAGGGTTTGGTGGAGTGTCGGGAAGGGGGGTTCTGAGACACCCAGATGCAGGATCACATCCTGGCCTTGGCCCTTAGCACCCAGGTGACAGTGGACAAGAAGGGTACCATAGGAGTCCAGTGGAGGTCGAGTGATGTGGAGAGCCCGGTCCGCGCTGGCTGTGGTGATGGACAGAGGACTGTGGAGTGGGGCAGAGTGGGACGCACTCTCCCCAACCTCTCTTCTGTCCCCTTCCTCCACTGGGGCAAGGGGCAAGAGGACTGTTCTGAGTCAGGCTGCTGCGAGCTGGGCCTGAGGACAGGGCACTCAGCACCCAGAGTGACCCCACCAAGAGCCACCCCCAGGTGCCCATCAGCACCAGCCAGCCCCCCTGACACCAGAGTCCTCACAGCCATCCCAAGAGGAAGGGAGCCCACTCCCGCCCTCCGGGCCCATCTCGGGCTCCTTCCCGCCCCTGTCCCCCAGCACTCTCAGGGATACAGTACTCACAGCTTGCCCAGTGCCCCTGGGTCCTCGCAGGCAGATGGTTTCCGTCTGCCCAGCCCCTGCCCCCACCCCAAAGGCCGCCTCCTGGAGCTCCGAGGGAAGCTTGCCTCCAGCCGTCTCCAGGGACGCAGCCTTTGGGCCCATCTGGGTCGAGCCTGCATGCCCAAACATGGTCAGCTCTGAGCGCTGGCTGCGGGACAGCCTCGGGAGAGCAGGTACCGGCCCTGAGACAGCAGGCGTCCTGGGCCAGCACCTGCATTTCCCAGCATCTCATGGGAAACAGATGTCAAAGGACAAACAGCAAAACCCAGAACCCTGAAAAGACCACCCTGGTCTATTTGGAAATGTTTCTTCTCCGGACTCTCAGGCTGGCAGAGGAGCAGGGAATGGGAAGCGAGTTTCCTTTTGTGGCTCAGGGGGAGGAGAGGGAGCCCCAGGGGGAGGAGAGGGAGCCCATGGGGCTGGGCTCAGCCTCTACCCAGGGGAGCGAGGCCCTGCTGCCTGGGGCACCTCGTGGGCCTCCCTGGGCCTGTTTCCCCCCCTGTGCTACTGGGGTGTTGGAGACTCCTTTGTTCAGGGTGGAGATAGTGGGGACTTAGGGGAAGGGAGGAGAACCCAACTTCAAGAGCCAGAAGAGCTGAAGCCAGTTCTACAGCCGCCTCCAGCCAGCAGGATCCCTGGCGACCCAGGGACCTTCCACACACTGACAAAATAGGGCTGGGGCTCACGGGCAGAGACTCATCCCCAACAGTAAACAAGCCAACCCCAGCCCCATCTCCCCATCTGCGAGGGGAATGTTGAAAGGATTGAAAATCAGCCACAAAAGCAAACCCCGTGCTGGGCTCCCCTAAGTACCTGGTGTTGCACTGGAGTCTCTCTGCTCCCAGGGGCCCGTGAGCAGCTGGAGGAGCCTCAGGTAACTGGCGGAGCCCCACTGTTCTACAGTGGGCCTGGTTCAAGCCGGCCTTCCCAGCCTGCAAAGCCCCAGCATCTCCACTGGCCCAGAGGCCACTGCACAGACAGTCTCTGGCCACCTGAAGTCCCGGTCACCTGAGCACTGCTGACTGTGTTGTAGGAACAGGGCACAGGCTCCAGGCACGGCCCGGCTCCAGGCACGGCCCGGCTCCAGGCACGGCCCGGCTCCAGGCACGGCCCGGCTCCGGTCTCCACCAACAACTGGCAGCTCATCCAGACCTGGGAGAGAAGAAGCCAGCAGAGGACTCCAGCCCCTGCCTTCCAGTGTCCCAGCTGGAGTCTCAGACATCACAGAGCAGGGACAAGCCACCCTGGCTGGGCTGAATGAACTCTCCATCCACAAAATCCATGAGCAGAAAAGGGATGTTTACGCATTGGGGTGTGTTGGGGGACATTTATCACGCAGCCCTCGTAACTGACACCGTTGAGGTGATTTAAAAGGGGGGCCATCCTGGTGGCAGGCAGCTGGCGTCAGAACCAGCCAGCATTAAAAAGCCTGAGCTCACTATATGGAGTGTGGAGGGGACTTATGCCCCGTGACACATCCCTGCACAGTGGAGCAGAAGGGCAGAAATGTGGGAGGAGTTCTTGATGACAGGCCATCTGCAATGTGCCTGGGCACAGGCCACACACACACACACACACACGTGTATATATACAGACATACACACGTGTTCACATACACACAGCCATACACACACAGAGTCCCCGCCCCTTATCTGAGGGTTCTTTCTGAGGTGTCAGTTACCCACGTTCAATCTCAGTCTGAGAATACTAAACAGAAAATTCCAGAAACAAACCGTTCCTAGGTTTTGAATTACTTCCATTGCCCTCTGTCCTTAGAGTTACCTATTTTGCGGTAACTCACTGTCGCTGCCCGCTTACTGTCCTAGTTAGTCGCTGGGCTTTATCACAGCTGTGCACTTAGAGGAAGAAGCCGGTACAGGCAGGGCTTGGTGCCCTCTGCGGCCTGAGCTGGCGGGGAAGGTCTGGGCACCTGTCCCCGCGGATACAAGGGCTGCGGCTGCGCGGATGTCCCCTGCTCCCGCCGCGCCCCGCAGAGGGCGGAGTGATCTGCAGGGGCCATCTTCTGGACGCAGGGGACACCGCCTGCGTTGGAACCACGGCCTCCACGCCCATCCCTGTGACTCCCTGGGGAGCAGGCTAAGAGGACCAGGGTTTCTTCCTGTGCCTGTCACGCTGTTTCACAGCCCCTCTCGTCACCGGTGGCCTTCTCGGGTCGTGCATCCACTTACCTATTGAAGCCCTTTTGCCCAATACCCAGACTCGTGTGATGACAAGTCCCCTACGTCCACTTGGAGACCCGTCCCCAGCCTGTGTGTCGCCCGCTGAGCGCCATGGGGAGGATGGGGGCTCGTCACCTGTCCTGGCGACACTGTTCACAGACGCTTCCCACCTACTGCGTGCGCACAGGCTGGGAGCACACCGCAGCAGCACCGAGGGGACTCAGAACAAGCCTGCCTTGTGGGGACGGCAGGTTGGACTTTTAACTGCAAAAATGCAAAACAGACAAAACGGTGGTTCTAAGGGAGAGGGAGGCCAGGGGCCTGGTCTGCAGCTTCCCTTTCCGTGGACTCCGTCGCTGGCCGTCAAAGGCAGTCTGAAAAAATTAAATAGAAAATTCCAGAAATAAGCCATC